CTAGCTGCTGAACATCTTATCAATATTACTATTTTCACTTCACTGATATTGCTTCAGAAAGCTTTGGCCACTTCTGTTTGATTTTTTGACCAAATAAATAGAGGATATTACATGGCCACGCAGAAATACAAAATTTCTCTTCGAGTGTTCAGAATATTTCACAAGTGAGCGCAGCCAACGAGTGAAATATTTTTCAACACGAGAAGAGAAATTCTGTATCTTCAAGTGGCCATGTAATGTTATAATATAATAATTATATAAACACCAGTGAAATCCCAACCCATTTCACTTTCGCTGCGAAAGGCGCCTTTTATCAAGTAACCATAGCAATGGTGATGTTTTCACATGTGAAGATATTATGTGCTCACCTGGTATTTTATTGGTTTTTATATAATAAAATACGTTATTGTGAGTGTGGCATTGGACTGACCTGGCAGAACCAATCATTGTGCCACAGTGCAATAATATTCATTTGGTTCTATCTGTGAGATGTGTTACCACAAAGTGTTATGGCTGAGCAATAATTGCTGTAACACACAGTAACCTTAGAAGGTCTGTTGACCATGTGCCACTGTGATACTGTACACCTATAAACTGAGGTTTAACAGTCATTGAAAAAGTTATCAAGAACTGCCTGCCTGTGGTTAGGCTATTATTTCAACATAAAATTGAGATTGTGGGCGCAAAAAAACAACACAGTCTGCCATATTGATCTGGAACTACGGTGCCTAAAGAAAAGCAGTAAAACTGCCAAAAACATTGCGTTTTAAAAACATTTTAACCTCAGAAAAGTTCCATGAGCACAAGATTTACAAATGTACTTTATACCGGTATATTTTATATAGAAACATGAGAGGTTCTGAAAGGTTCAGAAAAACTACATGTATTAAAATTTTGTTTGTTGTGTAAATGTAATGATGTTTCTTTGTGTGTAGGGGATGCCATTTCCTTGACAGATGGAGCAACTGAAGCAGCTGCTAATCACACCAATTCGGAAGGTATGATACAAATATTATCAATGATATCCAAAGATACACATGGCTAGTAACCGATAAAAATTGTTGTAATGTAAAAGCAGGAAGCACTTGGCATGCGAACAGTGATCAGGG